CTACATGTTGGTGTGTCTCCATGTTGGTGTGTCTCCATGTTGGTGTGTCTCCATGTTGGTGTGTCTCCATGTTGGTGTGTCTCCGTGTTGGTGTGTTTCCATGTTGGTGTGTCTCCGTGTTGGTGTGTCTCCATGTTGGTGTGTCTCCATGTTGGTGTGTCTCCATGTTGGTGTGTCTCCGTGTTGGTGTGTCTCCATGTTGGTGTGTCTCCGTGTTGGTGTGTCTCCATGTTGGTGTGTCTCCGTGTGGTGTGTCTCCATGTTGGTGTGTCTCCGTGTTGGTGTGTCTCCATGTTGGTGTGTCTCAGTGTTGGTGTGTCTCCATGTTGGTGTGTCTCCATGTTGGTGTGTCTCCATGTTGGTGTGTCTCCAGTGTGGTGTGTCTCCATGTTGGTGTGTCTCCATGTTGGTGTGTCTCCGTGTTGGTGTGTCTCCATGTTGGTGTGTCTCCATGTTGGTGTGTCTCCATGTTGGTGTGTCTCCATGTTGGTGTTTCTCCATGTTGGTGTGTCTCCATGTTGGTGTTTCTCCATGTTGGTGTGTCTCCGTGTTGGTGTGTCTCCGTGTTGGTGTGTCTCCATGTTGGTGTGTCTCCGTGTTGGTGTGTTTCCATGTTGGTGTGTCTCCATGTTGGTGTGTCTCCGTGTTGGTGTGTCTCCGTGTTGGTGTGTCTCCATGTTGGTGTGTCTCCGTGTTGGTGTGTTTCCATGTTGGTGTGTCTCCATGTTGGTGTGTCTCCGTGTTGGTGTGTCTCCGTGTTGGTGTGTCTCCGTGTTGGTGTGTCTCCATGTTGGTGTGTCTCCGTGTTGGTGTGTCCCCATGTTGGTGTGTCTCCATGTTGGTGTGTCTCCATGTTGGTGTGTTTCCATGTTGGTGTGTCCCCATGTTGGTGTGTCTCCATGTTGGTGTGTCTCCGTGTTGGTGTGTCTCCATGTTGGTGTGTCTCCATGTTGGTGTGTCTCCGTGTTGGTGTGTCTCCATGTTGGCCGATGCTCCGTCCATGTTGTTCGTGGCGCCGTGGTCTATGTTGGGGGGTGAAGTCTATGTGGTAAAGTATTTATATTTAGTAAGGGTAGCGGTGGATTTACGCGCGTGGGTTAGTAGGTAAGTATGGAGGTAGGTATGTAGACACAAAAATACTGGGACATATATACCTGGAGGTTTACTGGTTTATGTACATGTTCTTAAGTACGTACGTACACGCACAGGAATGGCGACATAGAGAGATAGACAGAAATGGATATGGGTAATCACATACACGATAGACATACTGACACACGGCCATTTACATATATTCGTATAACATGTGTGTAAATATAGATAGATAAATAAACATGAGTACATATAAATAGATAGATAGATGGATAAATAGATAAAGTGATAGATATATAGACAGACAGATTGACAGATATACAGATATGCATATATAAAGGAAAGGAGACAGACAGACGGACATGCGTACGTGTACATACACACACACACACACACACACACACACACACACACACACACACACACACACACACACATATATATATATATATATATATATATATATATATATATATATATATATATATATATATATATATATATATGTATGTATGTATGTATGTATATATACACAAACACACACAGATGTGTGTGTAAGTATGGATGCATATATGTCGCATAACAATAGCAATCCGCATGCTGACATTACGAAAGGGATAAACAAACAACAAGGAAAATGGCCGGTTTACTTCCCACGGCGGCAGCTTCATTCCGCGCTCTGTTAATCACTGGCTTCGACACAGAACAATTATCACCCTATTGTGCCGCGCTCTAGGGACACCTATTACCCCCTCCCCCCTTACCTACCCCCCCTACCACATGATCATCCGTACCCCCACCCCCCCACCCCTTCTTTTTTCTCATCTTCCCCCTCTTCCTTATTTTTCTCTCTCTCTTTTTTTCTCTCTCTCTTCTCCCTCTCCCTTTTCTCTGTCTCTCTTTTAAAATGTCTAACTAATTTGTCTGTGCCTTTCTTTCTCTTTCTTAATATGCATTCTTTCTATATCCATCTATTTATTTATTTGTATTTGCTTATCTATTTATCAGTCTGTCTCTGGGAAATCTGGATACAAATATATCTGTAAATATATATGTTACATTCTCATTGTTCATATGATTTTATTCCAACGTTTCTCTCTTCTCTCTCTATCATTTCACGTTCACAAAGACATATTTTCACTCAGTTTTCCTATCCATAGCATTTATTCTAACAATCTCACAAACATAACTTTCCTACTTCTGAGATATAAGTAGACATCGTAAAAAAATAATATAGTCATTTATCAACTCAAAAAAAAAGAAGAAAACTCTAATAAAAAAGAAAAAAAAAAGAAAAAAAATCTAGACCATAAAAACTCACGAGCTTATACTTTCCACATAAATTGCAGATCACAAGGTTTTGTTGCAATATGGGTAAGTTGTTTTTCACAGCTCTCCCTGTGATCTTGGTGCAATATGAAAATGCTTTCTCTCACTTTAATCGAGTCTATTTGAAATACTTTTGTGCCGTTTTCGACCTCGCCATAAGGTAGCATTTATTAAGAGAAAAGGACGAAAAATGAAAATAGAAAGTTTTTATATTTACGTGTTTGACCGCGCGCGTGTGTGTGTATGGGAGTGTGCGCGTGTGGTTGTGTGTGTGTGTGTGTGGTTCTGCTTGCCTGTCTGTGTATACTGTATATATTTGTAAATCTAACTTCATTCTCCTTTCGTAATATAATCACATTCTCTATATGCCTGTGCAAGCGAAAGCTTAAATCCCTATATATATTTCTCGGAGTCATAAAAAAAACGTGACTGATAATGATGAATGACCTGGAAATAACTTTTGAGCCTCATATCAAGATAAACATGTCGACAGCATGTTCAATCACGATACGTGGTGACTGCGCGTGGCAATGTAAAAAAAAAAAAAAAAAAAAAAAAAAGAGAAAGAAAAAAAAAATGCAATACTTGTGTGATCGACTCATATTTTTTTCCCATTTTATATGACAATGATGTACAACACTTCATGCTTAGACTGAAAGGAAACATAAGAAAGCCATAGATAAGGAGATATGATAAATGATAAAAGTATGTGAACCAGAAACAGATAAAATACGTAAAACAATAAAAAAAACAAAAGAAAACAAAAAATGAGGCAAAACCGACAAAACCGACACTAAGACCATGTGCAAATAGAGAATGTGTATGCATGTGTATGTGCACATGAGCGCATTCAGGAGGCTGGTCGCTAACTTCTTGATGAGCAACAAAGCCAAAAGGAGGGAAATAACGAAGGAGAATAATCAGAAGATGTGGCTAAGAAGGATACTCTGATGCAAATGAAGATCGTGAAGAAGAAGAAGGAGGAGGAGGAGGAGAGAGAGAGAGATACTTACTTACATACTTACATAAACACACACACACACACACACACACACACATGTATATATATATATATATATATATATATATATATATATATATATATATATATATATATATATATATATATATATATATATATATATATAGGTATGTATTCAATATATGCACATGTATGAACTGTATTTATACATACACACACACGCACACACACACATGTATATATGTATTAAATGTGTGTGTATATATATATATATATATATATATATATATATATATATATATATATATATATATATATATATACACACACACACACACACACACACACACACACACACACACACACACACATATATATATATATATATATATATATATATATATATATATATATATATATATATATATGTGTGTGTGTGTGTGTGTGTGTGTGTGTGTGTGTGTGTGTGTGTGTGTGTGTGTGTGTGTATGTGTACGTATGTATGTATATATGTAAAAGTATACAGGAAAAATCATACATACATGTATATACATACATTTAAATATGCATATATACATATATATGTGTGTGTGCGTGCGTACGTGTGCGCGTGTGTGTATGTGTACGTGTGTGTGCGTGTGTTTGTGTGTATATACACCCACACACATACATACATAAACAAATACGCCATACATAAAACACACACCTACCAACAACCGCGTGTGCGTGTTAACCTCATATATAATATTGGGTTAACCTCATTTTTCAAACGTGATACTTAGATTAATCGCAGAAAAATCGATAAATCAGTCTCCTATTCCGAACAGCGTGTGTGGGGCACTTTCACTCGTGGGGGGTGGGGGGGGGGGGCTGAGGGTGAGAAGAAGAGGAATGAATCATATTGATGAGGTAAGAGGAGAGGCGAAGGAGGAAGAGAAGGAGGGAAGAGAATAAGGAGAAAGGAATGAAGGAAGAGGAGGAGGGATAGAGATAGAAGGAGGAGGTGAAGGAAAATGGGGAGGAAGGGGAGGAGGAGGAGGAGGAAAGAGAGAGGGGAAATATGGAAGGATGGAGGAGGAAAAAGAAAGAGAAGGGATAGTAGAAAAAGGATCAAGAATAGGAGGAGGAAAGCGGAAATGGAAGACAAGAAGACGAGTAAAAAAAAAAGGAAGAGAAACAGAAATAAAAAGTGGAGAAAAAGAAGAAAGGGAAGAGAACAGACGTAAAATGAAGATAAATAGCAGACTGAAGAGGGAAAGGAAAATATGAAGGGGAAAAACGAATACGAATAAAAGAGGTGAAAGGGAATAACTAAAAGAAAAAAAAGGAAGAAGAGTTCAAAACAGAAAAAGAAATAGAAAAGAAAAGAAAAAGAGAGAAAAAAAAAAACGAAAGAAAAAAAAAAAATAAAAATAAGAAAGAGAAGAAAGAAAGAAAGAAAGAAAGAAAAAAAAACAAGAGGAGTGCGATAAGAAGGAAAAAGGGGTAGAGAAAAGAAGAAAAGAAAAGAGTAAGACGAAAAGAAGGAAGGAGAAAGAGGAGGAGGAGAAAAGGTTATAAAACCACTCCCACATTGGCTTAATGATAGAGAAGACATTATCACAATTTGGTGAAGAAATTTATTAGTTTTCGTGAATACAGATTCTCCCTCGACCCTAAATATCAAAGAGGAATTCTTGATAATCTTTCCTAATAATGGCAAGACGTATGGATCTTCAGAATGGGATTTATCTCTAAAAAGGATGAAATACTGCATGTGAATTTCATGCCGTCTTGTAAATCACTGTTGAATGCAGGAAGGGATGTGTGTAAATTCCTTAAAATATGTACGCCCCCCCCTACACGCACACATACACACGAAGAGGTACATATGTATGTGTGTGTGTATATATATATATATATGTATATATATATATATATATATATATATATATATATATATATATATATATAAATATATAAATATATATATATATATATATATATATATATATATATATATATATATATATATATAAATATATATATATATATATATATATATATATATATATATATATATATATATATATATATATATATATATATATGTATATATATACATATGTATTCATATATATATATATATATATATATATATATATATATATATATATATATATATATATATATATATATTCATATGCATATATATACACACACATCTATACGTATTTATATACATATATATATATATATATATATATATATATATATATATATATATATATATATATATATATGTATATATATATATATATACATATACACACACACACACACACACACACACACACACACACACATATATATATATATATATATATATATATATATATATATATATATATATATAACACAAGAGAACACGAGAGAGAGAGAGAGAAAGAGAGAGCGAGAGAGAGAGAGAGAGAGAGAGAGAGAGAGAGAGAGAGAGAGAGAGAGAGAGAGAGAGAGAGAGAGAGAGAGAGAGAAGAGAGAGAGAGAGAGAGGGGGGGGGGATTAGATAGATATAGATAGATAATAAATATGATACAGATAATTATGACAGGGTAATAATAATTACCATAGTAACTATGAAAATAATGATACTGATAACAGAAATAGCGTTAGTTCTAACAACACCAATAATAAAAATAACATCAACAAAATAGCGTTAACCACCAACACAAGAGAACACAAGAGAACACGAGAGAGAGAGAGAGCGAGCGAGAGAGAGAGAGAGAGAGAGAGAGAGAGAGAGAGAGAGAGAGAGAGAGAGAGAGAGAGAGTCAGAGAGAGACAGAGAGAGAGAGAGAGAGAGAATAAATGTACAATATAAAAGTTCAAAACCTCTATTTCGAGTTCATCAAAAGACCTTTCACTCGGCACGCGGGAAAGATGGCGGTCTAACCTCACTCTGTTCGTATTTGGCCAAGATTTATCTCGACGCCATAACAAGAGCTGACTTAATCGCTGTTTAAACAAGATGAAGATAAGAGCAAAGGTAATGCCAACGCAGAAGAGAGATTTGTGTCCACCCCTTTTTTTTTTTATTACGGAGGATGTGTACTGTGCAAGAAACGGAAGAGAAGGAAGAGAGAGAGAAAAAATAGACCGAAGGGGGAGGGGGAGGGGGAGAGACGTAGGAAAAACAAAAAAAAAACAAAAGTGAATCGGCTCAAAAGGATCGAAGCGTCCGTTAAGACCAGTAACGAGCCGACGATCTCCACGTCCGTGTCTTAATAGCCGACCATCAGTTAGCTTGCAGAACGACTGTCGAATCTCCTTGTTTGGGAACGGCCAATTACCGCCTGGTTGGAGGTTGCATTGTGGGAATATCCCCCTTTCCCTCCTCCCCTCCCCCCTCTTCCCTCCTCCCCTCCCCCTCTTCCCTCTACCCCTCTTCCCTCCCCTTCTTCCCCTCTTCAGTCCTCCCCTTCCCCCCGCTTCACTTCTCCCCCCTCCCCCTCTTCCCTCCTACCCTCTACCCCTCTTCCCTCCCCTTCTTCCCCTCTTCAGTCCTCCCCTTCCCCCCGCTTCACTTCTCCCCCCTCCCCCTCTTCCCTCCTACCCTCTACCCCTCTTCCCTCCCCTTCTTCCCCTCTTCACTCCTCCCCTTCCCCTCGCTTCACTTCTCCCCCCTCCCCCTCTTCCCTCTACCCCTCTTCCCCCTCCCCTTCCCCCCCGCTTCACTTCTCCCCCCTCCCCCTCTTCCCTCTACCCCTCTTTCCTCCCCTTCTTCCCCCTCCCCTTCCCCCCGCTTCACTTCTCCCTCCCCTCTCTTCCCCCTCCCCTCCCCCCCGCTTCACTTCTCCCTCCCTCCTCTTCCCCCTCCCCTTCCCCCCCGCTTCACTTCTCCCCCCTCCCCTCTCTTCCCCTCTTCCCCC